TGCTCTATGAATTAAATGGGAATTTCATCTCGCTCTCTTTTATTTGCTGTTTATGTAATTTCTATACTCCTTCTCTTTGTCAAAATACGTCTGTTTACACACACACACACACACACACATATATATATATCACACTCTCTCCGAATTTGTCAATATATCTATTTCTATATATATATGTAGCATATATATGTATATATATATATATATATATATATATATATATATATATATATATATATATATGTATATATTTAACCCCTTGGTGCCGGGTATGACGTGTACGTACGTGCTATGCCCACAGTGAGTACTTGTTTGATTGTTTTTACGCATAGATGGCAACACTTGTACTAACTCCCCAATGAGCCAGTTACAAGCACCGCCCGTCTCGCCCGTTTACTCGTTTCTTTGATTTACAAAATATTTTACGTAATCTTATTTTGCTGTTACTAATGTTAAAAAAAAATATAAAAATTATAATGTTTATGATAAAAAAAACACCATCGATTTTCATAGCACTAGTGAAAAATACGTTTTTCCCGCCATTTAAATCAGGCGCTAGCAGAGTCATCTATCGGCAGACATTTTACGAAAAACATAGAAAGTGGGCACGATATTTTCCCCATTTTTTGTTCATTTTCCCCGGCACCATTGGGATATATATATATATATATATATATATATATATATATATATATATATATATGTATATATATATGTACATATATATGCTACATATATATATAGAAATAGATATATTGACAAATTCAGAGAGAGTGTGATATATATATATATATATATATATATGTGTGTGTGTGTGTGTGTGTGTGTGTGTGTGTGTATGTGTGTGAGTATATATATATATATATATATATATATATATATATATATATATATATATATATATATATATATATATATATATATATATATATGTATATATATATGTATATATATATATATATATTATATATATATATATATATATATATATATATATACATATATATATATATGTTTGTGTGTGTAAGGCATGTCTTCCTATGTCTTAATCTATCTATCTATCTATCTATATTTGTGCATGCGCGCGCGTGTGTGTGTGTGTGTGTTTGTAAATGAAATGCTTATACTTTACAGATGAATATTTAGGGCATTAAGTGCATCTATTTTTGAAAAGTCACGCAGAGAAAGGGGGAAGTCAAATCTGAGCAAGCGCCCAATCTGCGAAATAAGTGCAACACGTTACATAATTAGATCAAATGTCAGTTTAATAAGATCAAGTTATACTTAGGCATATTTTGATCAAAATATTGTACATTGATTTGATAATCACTCCTAAAAAAATATTTATTAGTCATACACACTTTGATTATGCTTACATAATGTTATCACGTGATAATATAGGATTAGGATGAAAAAAATGTAAATTAGTGACTTACGGACACATGTATTTATGTATACATCACACACACACACACAAACACACATATATATGTATATATATACATATATATATATATATATATATATATATATATATATATATATGTATATATATATATATATATATATATATATATATATATATATATATATATACATATATATGTGTGTTTGTGTGCGTGTGTGTGTGTGTGATGTATGCATAAATACATGTGTCCGGATGTTACTAATTTACATTTTTTTCATATATGTATATATGTGTAAATATATATATATTCATATATATATGAATATATTTATATGTTTATATATATATATATATATATATATATATATATATATGTGTGTGTGTGTGTGTGTGTGTGTGTGTGTGTGTGTGTGTGTGTGTGTGTATGTATGTGTGTATATATATGTATGTGTATATATATATGTATATATATATATATGTGTGTGTGTGTGTGTGTGTGTGTGTGTGTGTGTGTGTGTGTATATAAATATGTATATATATGTATATATATATATATATATATATATATATATATATGTGTGTGTGTGTGTGTGTGTGTGTGTGTGTGTGTGTGTGTGTGTATGTGTATATGTATGTATATATGTATATATATATATATATATATATATACATATATACATATATATATATATATATATATATATATATATATATATATATATACATGCACAAACACATAAAGGCAGGGATGCACACACACACACACTTTGTAATATATATGATTTTTATTTTTGTATAAAGCGAAACATATTTTTTCTATGACTTTATTCATCCCTCAACTTAACCCATTTGCCACATTTGGCAAGAATAGATGCCATACCCACTTTAAGACACGTTTATTTATTGTATTTACACATAGATGGCTCCGCAAGTTCTTAATCACCAAACAGCCAGTTATCAAGAACTACCTATTTCACCTGTTTACCCTTTTCCTTCACTTTTGGAAAGTTTTTTTTGTATCATTTCATTGTCTAAAATATTCTAGTGACAATTTGGTAATCATAACATCAACAACAATAATAACAGTATTGATAGCAATGGTATTGAATGGGAAAATCAGGGTCGGTAACTAGGGCCTACTGATAGACTCCTTGCCGGCTGAGTACATGTGGAGCCATCTGTATGTAACATAATTCATTAAAAACTACAGGGGACAGAACATATATTCGTGGCGAATGGGTTAAATAATGATTTTACTATTTGAGACTAAAATATTACATTAGACTAACAAGTTCTCTAACAAGTTACTGTTTTTGGTCACCATCTACCCTGTTCTTCTACCGTGAAAGGAAATTCCAAAAAAGTAACAAAAATATGAATAAATGTCTTTTAACCCATTCGCCACACGTGGCAAGAATAGATGCCACACCCACTTTGATACACGTTTATTTATTGTATTTACACATAGATGGCTCTACAAGTTCTTAATCACCAAATAGCCAGTTATCAAGAACTACCTATTTCACCTGTTTACCCTTTTCCTTCACTTTAGGAAAGGGTTTTTTATATCATTTCATTGTCAAAATTATTCTAATGACATTTCAATAATCATAACATCAATGACAATAATAACAGTAACGTAAGCAATGGTATTAATTTTCCCGCCAATTCAATGAATGGAAAAATCAGGGTCGGTAACTAGGGCCTACTGATAGACTCCTTGCCGGCAGAGCCATCTGTATGTAACAAAATTCACAAAAAAATACAGAGGACAGAACATAAATCCGTGGCGAATGGGTTAATACGTTCTAGTTTCATTTTCTGTAATAGAGATTCTAAAATGTATGTCACACTCTAACAGGCCCCCGCCACACTCTACAGCACTTTCAGTAACAGTATACAGACTTGTTATAAGTCCAACAATTAGTGTTGAGGGATACTCTTTGGAATCAATTACTTCGATTACTTTTGCTTATGAGTAATCGATTACTTTTTTTATTACTTTCACCTAGAAATAGATTATACAGTGGTATATCTGTAGAGTATAAGGTATACATTCATGGTTTAAGTGGTATGTGCGCGCGCGTTTTTTTAAATGGTTCCCGTCACCCTTTCCCATCCCACCCAAACACGCGCGCAATAACGGGCGTTAAAGAAATATCTTGCACCACCTTATAGAGTAAACAAAAGTGTCATGGTGAGTTGTGTTAGATTGAAATATATTTGAGACGGTCCTGAGTTCAACCCTGAGTAATCATTTGGTAATCGATTCTTGGAAATTATAATTGATTACGGCAACCACCAGCAAAATACTTTATTTCGCGATGCATCAAGATTAATGGAAGTTGAAAGCATTCAATGACCAAACTTACAACGGCATTCCACATTAAACTGAAGCGTTAGGATATGGTCTGTTGTGGACTTGACAGGTGTGCATCCAGATTGCTCTGGTCTCTAGTGCCTCAGTGGTCTCAGTGATCTGTCTCAGAATATAAAAGAAAATCTTCTCTGGTATGCAGGTGTAACGGTAGCCCTGCGCCACAGGTTCACCACTAGCTTTTAGTAATTCAGCAGGGGTATTGCATGTGCCTGCTCACTGCCACCTTTCAGCGTAGAAATTGCTTCTCAAACCTCAGTCAGGGTAGGAGGCTCTTCACTGATGGTGGATCCAGCACAGGGATTGCGACACCACTTGTTTCTGCACTAACTGCTGGGGTCCAACCTGAGGAGAGCTTGAGGTTCACTTTCCTCAAGTTTTGGTAGGTAGGGTGAAGGTCATTTACGAAGGAATTGCTTTCCACTTCCTCAGCAAGATTCCTGATATAGTTTTCCTGTCCTCTCAACAGCATCTGAGCCCTGTGCACCAAAGAACGGCGATAATTCCGAGTGCCATTCAGTCAAGCCACACGACACATATTTGTAGCCCCTAGTATCTCCTGTGAGATGAAATTCTGCCTTGATGTCAGGCGTTCGTCAACGAGCTGCAGCAGGTGTTTTGTGCTTAAAGGAATCCCACAGCCCTACAGGGTTTGTCAGATTTTCGAAAATTTCGAATCAATCAGAGATGGCTGCAGCGAACCTCTGGACACACTTCTTTCCTCAGTTTGTCCAAGTGAAACACCCTGGAATGCACACCGGTAAACAATTTAGTCCTGGGGATGTGGACGATCTCCTTGGTCACAGTACACATAACATTGTACCCTGTCCAGCAATGCAAGTGAGAGTATTGATACCAGAAGCCAAACATTTTCAATCTCTGGGACATTGCAGAGTCCTGGAACAAGAGGGTATTATGGATACAGCTCCTGGGCCATGAAGATCAATAGACAACCAGATAACACACTGAAGTTTTCCAGAACATTGTAAATGTCTCCCTGAGGAAAACTATCTGCCACGGATGTGAGTTTGGTATAAAATACTTTCCCATCAAGTAGGAGCATACACAGCAATACATGAAGCCAAGAGCATGCCCATGTGCCTTGTCGAGGAGTTTGCAATGGAACTTGCCACTTCTCTTACCTCCATAATTAACATCTCACTGCAACAGCCTAAATGCCCAACACAATGTAAGACCGTATTTGTCAAAGTCATCGGTAAAAACCCAAGCGCCGCCTCATCATCTCCATTACCTAATTATCTGAAAAATTTGTCACCAACTGATCTTAGCGGGGCCTCGCGCCCAGCATTGACATTTGGCAATTCAGTAACATGCACTCCTCCTCTACCACACACTCTCGTCAGTTTCCTCAACTTCGTCCTTGCCCACTTTGACAAGTGCAAATCCTCTGTCACCAGCATCTTCATAGATTTTGAGAAAGCCTTCGACCTGATGGACCACACCATGGTCATCTCAGAAGCAGCAGCTTCCACAGTGCCTCATCCCCTGGTTATCAGATTTTTCTCCAACAGGAAACAGGCCATGCACGTACAGGGGCAAGTTTCCAGCCTCCTGCTACACACATGTGGAGTCCCTCAGGGGACTACAATGGAACCCTGTGCTTCCTTGTCATGATTAACGACCCGCTTCTGGACACCGAGCATCATTGGAAATACGTGGATGACTCAACCATTGCCGCCGCCATTGACAAATCCCTGACCACTCCACCATCCAGCACACCTTCGACAACCTCCTCACCTTAACCACTTCAAATCACGACACTATCAACTGCCAGAAGTCGGTCGTGATGCAGTTCGACTTCACCAACCCCCAGCCCCTGTGCTGATCCTCACGCTGGACAACTACCACTCAATGTAGTCCATTCCACTAAGCTGCTCAGCATCACCATCGACGAAAAGCTCTCCTGGACAAAGCACATCAGAAACATTGTGAGGTCTCCCTCATACAAGTTTCACATTCATTGGTGTCTCTGTTCTGGAGCTTCACAATATCTATACTGTAATATCTATACTGTAATAGTGACTGCGTATATTTCCTCACTACACCCATGGCTGTTGGGAACATTTGAGCCCCAACTATAGCTTCCCCTCGTTGGACTCCATGGTGGGTGGGTGGGGGGGGGTGAGGAAATGAAGATTTTTAATTTGTATGATTACTACAAACTTACTATAAAAAGTATGCTGTTACCACTGCCAAAGAAGAACATGAAGCTTCTTCTAAACAATGTAAAAGATGCAAGTTTGAAAAAGAAGTATTGGTAATAAGGAGCAAGGAGAAAGTTAGTTTTACAGAAGCAAAGCAACGTGCCCGTGTGCTGTTTGCACAGCTGGGTAAGTCCTTTGCTTCAGTTCTAGCCCATCCTCCTTCCCGCCATCCCTTCCCTTCCAATACCTCTAACACCACACACTCTGTCACTACCTTTAAAAATTAAGTCTGCAAATGTTGAAACTGCCTCTGGTGAGTTGTTCCACCAGAAACAGAGTAGGAGGAGACCTCCTCCCAAAGTAAAGTCTTTGGAGCCATCAGTTAAGGCTCCAGAGGCCTCAACGGAGACAGTCTGAGCTGCCACCACATCCACAGGGGCCTCTGCTGCTAGGCAGAATGCCCCTGAAGTAAAGGAGAACTGGATACCTTAATCCAGTGGAACTGTCAGGGAATTCATGCAAAATGGGAAGAACTGCAACATCTGATAGCTTCATGTAATCCAGTTTGTGTATGCCTACAAGAGATTATGACCAGGGAAAACTGTCCAATTTCCCTGAGAGGATTCCAAGTGCAAGCCCATTATGGAACCTTCAATAATGGACCTCATGGAGAAGTAGCAGTGATGGTACATCAAGATGTTTCCTTCCAGGCCATCCACCTGCAGACGACACTGCAGGTGAAGGCTGTGAGAATAGGCTAGACACGACCTTACACTGTTGCATCCATCTACCTCCCTCCACATAATCTCAACATAGATGATTTGGAAGATTTACCTGGGCAGTTGCCTCATCCATTTCTACTCTTGGGAGACTTCAATGGTGGCATCACCTCTGGGGAGACACTGAGCAACCCTCGAGGAAGGGCCTTGGAGTGCTTGTTCTCAAGAGTAGATGCAGTTTTACTGAACAGGGATGCACCCATACATTTCCAAATTCAAACTGAGACATTCTCCAATATTGACCTGTCAGTTGGTTCACCTGATTCACAGTTGAATTTCACTTGGCAGGTCATGGAAGACTTACATGGAAGTGACCACTTTCCAATACTTTTGGAAGATGTGAATGGTATTCCAGCCAATGGAGTGCAGAGATGGCGACTTGAACATGCAGACTGGAATCTTTTTAGATCAACTGCAGTATTGCAAGGATCTGTGAATGATTCCCAGTGTGTTCAAGATGCTGTCAATCACTTATCATGAAATCACCTTGCAGCAGAAGCATCAATTCCTAGAAGTAGCGGTCAGTACCGTCGACCTCTGGTACCATGGTGGTCTGATGAATGCCAACAAGCTGTCAGAACTAGAAAAGCTGCATTAAGGCAGTTGAAACGACGCCCAAGCGATATAACCTTGATCCACTACAAAAAGATATGAGCCAAGGCTAGGCGAGTGCTAAAGGAGGCTAGAAGGACATTGTGGAGGCAGTATGTCTCCTTGATTAACTCTGGGACCCCTTTAGCATGGGTATGGGACAAGGTGCGTAAGATTGCTGGAAAGAGCACATCCATACCTGCTCTGAAAATAGATGGCATAATCCTCACAGACAAAACAGATGTTGCAAATGAACTGGCAAAATCCATGGCAGAGATCTCCTCTGGAGCTTCTTATACCGCCCGATTATCCACTCTTTGGGCTGAACAGAAACGACACCTAGTGTCGTTCTCCAGTAGCACTGCAGCAGAACTCCCATACAAATTGCCATTTTTGCGCAAGGAGATGGACTCTGCCGTAAGACTGTCCCAGGAAGTGATGATATTCCATACCAAATGATATCTCACTTACCAGAGAGCTCCCAAACATTCCTGTTGGATTTGTTCAACAGGGTCTATAGGGAGGGCACAGTGCCATCCACATGGAAAGAAGCTATAATCATTCCTGTCCCTAAACCTAGTAAGGAGGCTTCCATACCAGGGAATTATAGACAAATTTCTCTCACCAGCTGCATCTGCAACTTGATGGAGAAAATTGTATATTTCAGCTTGACATGGCTGCTAGAAAAAGAAAATGTGCTGACCCCATATCAATAAGGGTTTAGAAAACTGAGATCGACCACAGATGCACTTGTGAGGATGGAAACTGCAATACAAAATTCCTTCACACAGTGACGTCGTACGTTAGCAGTCTTCTTTGACCATGAAAAGGCTTATGATACTACTTGGAAGCATGGCATACTCCTGAAGCTGTATGACACTGTTTTAAGAGAAGCATTGCCAGCCTTCATACAAAGCTTCCTTGCTAACAGGAAGTTTAGAGTGAGGGTGGGAAACAGCTTCTCTAACCTGGAGGATCAGC